TTCTGGAGTAACAAGGTAATCGTGCCGCCATCGAGGATATCAGAAATGATGCACATTCTTCCGCGGCGCATGCGGGAGCCGTAAATATGAAGACTAGAGCAAGGAACGTTCGTGATGTTTCGGTCGAATATTTCAGGCAACATCTAACAAATCTGTAAACATTTGAAAGTGTGCCAAAAGCATAAACCTCAAAACGCTAAGATGCCCCTTCTGAATCACAAAGCACCCTCACTTCCAAGGCAGGTTGTCGGCATCGGCATTTTATCTTTTGAAGACCATGAGTTTGCCGTCATTGTAGACTTCTACTGATTCTTTTAAATGCGCGAGTTCCGGACAAATACTGTGAGCTCGCTTAATACATGGTGCTCAGAAATCTTTTCAGTTCATGGCTTGGCCAATAAATTATGCAGTGATAATGGCCCGCCTTTTAACAGTGACGAGTTCAAGGAATGTCTGATTACCTTAGGCATTCCACAAATAACTTCAAGTCCCCATCACCCACTGTCAAACGCCATGACGGAGAGAGCAGCAGAAGAGGCAAAATCTTTTGAAGTGCTCGTTTAAATTGCCAATGTTTCAAATGGCTGTGCTTGAGTAGCGCAGTACCCCACCTGATTATGTGCTCCAGTTCCCCGTGCAAAGATTGATGAGACGACAGACGAGACCTCTGTTACTGGTGCCTACCAGTCATTTAGAACTGAGAACCGACCCACCCGACGTGGTCCAGGGCCGCCTTCAAGAAATGTGACATCGACAGAGGACCTACTTCAATAACGGTAGAAGGAACCTGTCGCCTGTGAGATTAAGCCAGGAGGTCACCATATACGACACAAACCAGTGTATCTGGGCTCCTGCAGTCTTGATAAGGGCAATCCAGGAACACCACTCGGCGATAGTGAAAACTGAACATGGCCATGAACTTCGGCGCACAAGGTAACACCTCCACTTGGTAGAACCACAACTTGAGCCGAGCCAGCCAAAGGCCAATCTCATTTCTCCAGATTGATTTTTCTGAACAGCCCCTCAAGAACTACGATGAAGTACAAGATGACGACGCGAGCCCCGTTTGTGCCCTCTACCCGAGAGACACTAAACATGTGTTAATTCTGCAGAGAAAGGTAAGATCTAGCACGGCTCATAAAGCACGACGTCACCGTTTGTGTCAATTCTGCACATGCGCTGCTGCAGCAGCAGTTGTGTCTATCACAACTCTTGTTAGCACGAAATGGTGGGACGAAGGAAGAGCACGAAATGGTGGGACGAAGGAAGGACACAAACAACGGCGCTTCCTGTATTCGTCCTGTTTTCCGAGCTGTTTTCTCTTCATTGTGGCTACCGCTTTTCAGACTAAAAATGAAAACGTGCGACGTTTCCCTTGCCGTGATAGTTCACCCGCACGCGACGAAGTTTGGAGGCATGGTTCCCGCAAAGTAGCAAGAGTGACGGCCTCAAGGGACGCCTCAGCAAGCCGAAATAACTAAGCCGAAGGAGAAATGTCTGCTACCTTTCCAACCACTTAGATGCGTTAGCGGGAGGCGCGCTTGAGCATGCGCAATAGCTTTTTTGCGAATTGTCTATTGTGGAAGTGCAAAGGCTTCGATAAAGAAGCTAAAACTGTTTCTCCATAGGGATAATACATACGTAACAGTACCTGCGTGTTACAAGCTAGAATGGTATTTAGCCACATGCTACACCTCATTGATAACTTGTGGTCGCGTTGAAGTGTACCATACATGCAAGGAAATGACCCAATAATTGTACTTTTTGCGCGTCTTCGAAGAGACTACAGCTCACAATGGTTCCCCGACAAGCTATCTGACGAGCACATGTGAAATCTTGCTCTTTTATTCCGGCTTTTTTACTGGTGGTTTGTGCCTTGTATTTTTATGAAATCATTCAACGCTGCGTGACGAAGATCGGACATGAAAAGATAGAGCATTTCCAGGTGTAGGCGCTACGCTGAGAACCCTCCAATTGTAGATGTCATTGCAACTAGCGCATCGCCACTCAAGATGGTACGAGTAGAATGTATCACACCGGACACGTAGCACTAGTGTTGATGCTGCAAGGCATTCAATTTTTTGTGGAGATTTTGTGCACTACTTGCCGTTGAATTAAAATAACTTTCACGTGATGGATGCCATTAAAGTCAAGGATACCCATGCATATATACCAGGCAATTGATTGAAGATCACATGTCAATTTCAAAAGCTATAGTTAGTGCGCCTTTAGGAAGTAAATGAGAAACAAAACATAAACCATGAGGACAAAGCTTTTTTTTACCAACACTATACTTTCCCTGATGACACTTCACGGTTTAACTTTGTTCTCCGTCGTCCTGCGGCTGCCAAGAAGCAATTCCTGTTACTTTTGCATGCGAACAGAACCTGCGGAGATGTCGAGCAGACGACGCTACGCAGATGAATACATGTGTATGGGCTAATGCGCCTTCATAATGGGAAAGGAGCCTTGCAGCCTTAACAGTTCTAAAAGAGTTCAGAAATTTCTTAGAGTCCTTAGAATTCAGAAAATTCAATTTTGCCCGGTGACGCGAATACCTCTCCTAAATTGTCATCGGAAGAAAATTTGAGGTGAAATAGTGTTAATATATGCAACAATTTTGTAACAATTTTGAAAATAGGTATTTATAAGCAATTACACGGATTTAGGCACAACGTCACAAATAGGCACCTATTAACACTATAAAACACTCTGAAAGCACTTCTTCACCTCTAATTCATGCCCATATATCGAAGTAACACAATCGGAAAGCAAAGAACAAAATATGCCTTTGCCCATAATCCAGTCTCTAGTCATCAGCATCACCATATGTGACTATTGTCATTTTTTGCCTCTTCGCTGTGCCTCTGGCACAGCACCTGCGTTAGCTCGAGGCACGCGACCGAGAATAAACTTTTATTTGAGCAAATGCATTCTGCGCCCAAGGTGGGTGGCCTCCCTAATCACGGCAGCCGTGGGCCTACGCCATCTTTCGCGTCCGTTGAACCATGCTACGCTCATTCATCAGGCCCGGGTCTGATTACACTGCTGTTCGGTTAGTGTAGTGGTTCCAAGGCTTTGTGTGCATCCCCATACCCTATGGAATAGGATTTCCGAAACATCACAGTGCTTGCAAGATTACGAGTACTCGGTTAGAGAGGTGCGGTGAGCAGTCCACCGTGAACGTTGGTGTCAGTTCGCAGCTTCCTGGGGGTTACTGCCTCTTCCTGTATAGGGCTGGGGTGGGCTGGTGGATAATGTTTTTTTCTGTTCAGCCTGTAATGCTGCCGTATATTGTTGTACTTTTAGGTACATATTCCTTCATCCTTAGTGCATCCTTTGGGAAGGCCGGAAAACAGGAGCTCGGGCGAAAGCATTGGCTGCCTCAATTCTCATCATGGAGTCGTGATCTGGAGTACAAACGATTTACGTGTCAAAAAGATTCGTCTTCACTGCCATACCGAAAATTTCTAGGGCTTCCATTGAAATTATGTCTTTCTGAAAATTTCGACAAGCCGCTTCCGAATCGGTTAGTATTACTGCTGTGCCAGTACAGGGTGAGACTTCTAGCGCTATCTCTTTTTCTTTTGTCATGTCGATTTCTGTAGTTAGGACGCTAGCTGCCGTTCTTTCTTCGCCATCACTGCCGGCTACGCTGGCAGCATCGGCTGGCATTCCCGAATATTTCACTGCAGCAGTGTATCTTGTGTGGATTGCGGCCGTGATCTTGTTGGAGCTTCTTTACTTTGCATTTTTTTCTTTCGAGATGATACGTAGGATCAATATTTCATGGGATGCGGGCTACTAGAAGATACGATCTGATCGTTGGTAGAAAATTTCTTTTCTCATCACATTGTAGAGTTACCTCAGGATAAGCCAACCTTCGAAGTGTCGATCAACCAGCTTCACTTAGTCTAAGCCGTTCGAGTTTACTTATTTTGTGTGCTTCGGCGAGTTCCTCTCAAGTGTTGTGGAGGCCTAAGCTTAGCAGTCGCAGCGTGGATGCACGTTCGAAGATTCCTATGGTAGTTTCGATGGCTTTTTTATCAGGGTATTGTGTTTTAAATTTCAGAATTATTCAGATACAAGTGAGTGGTTCCATACGTAATTTCGCTGATGATGAGAACTTTGATCAATTTGATGGTGTCGCGTTCTGTCAAGCCGTGTGCTTTGTTTGATAACCATCGTAACCCAGGCAGCACACCGGCGTTGGACCGATCTTAGACCGGTATTGGCTAACGTCGGCTGCAATATTGGCCCAAGGTTGGCGAATCGGCTAAGTGCAACTTCTTCCGATGTAGGACCGATGTTCAAGCCAACCTGAAGCCGATGTTCTGCCGTTGCATTTGCCGATATCTAGCCGATGCCTGCCCACTCTACCAATGCCAATGAAGGCCCGTCCTTTCACCGACGTAGTTTCCAACATACATCCAGCATAAGACCACTCTCGGGCCACTTTGTAGCCAATGAAATGCCGTTACTACGCCAGCATTCGCTTTACGACGAATATTGGCCACCATTGGCTAGCCAATGTTTCACCGTTAATAATATGGGCTTTTTACTACTGGCATTTTTTAGCCTGTGGACTTTACATTACGCCCCCAGAACTTCCTCAAGCAGCTTATAGCAGCCCCGTACGAGCTTGGCGATGTAGTATACTTCAAGGCGACTGACCACTGGATGACTAGTGTAGAAGCACTACACGATTCCACTAAATCGTCCATTTTTGCCTTTTTCCTTGCATTGCCAATTACCCTACCCACATGTAGAGCATAAGAGTGCACAAGTTTAGTTACTGTCTAGTTTTCTCTATACATTCTTTCTCAGTTTTACGAGAAATTGTAACATAGGCTGTTCTATCAAGTATTAGCTTAAAAAACATTAACTAAAGTAACGGCTCCGTGCAAATATTCCGCACACAAGCAATCTATATATAAGAATACCAGAACACAATTTTTGTAACTTTATTTCTAAGTATATCAAGTCACAACATTTATTTTTCAGTTCGGCTTTTCAAGTTACGGCAGTTCAGCAATGCAGCCCAATCTAGGAGGCGAGTTCAGCAAGGCTCTATGGGCATACTGGCCAGGGAAGCAGAGGTTGGGCGATGATTCAGAGGCTGCAGCAGAAGATGAGGCAATGACAGTGGGCTGCCCAGATCCCTGCAAGCAGCCATTGGGCAGGAAATCAACCATCACAGGCTGTCGCAGATCCTTGCTCCGAGGGACAGCAGCGACCGGGCTACCAATCGATGAACACATCTGTGAAGTGCCTTACCTAACCTCCATTGAGGCCAACAAACTTCAACAGCCACGTCTTGATGAAACGCTGAGCATTTTCAGACACCTACATCCGTAAATAGAAATAAACACCTCAAAATAGGTTCTAAGCACTGCAGTATAACATATATCAAGCGAAAACAATGAAAAACAATGACAGCAGACGTTATATTGTACTATCCAGATCAAATGCTATGTGGCCATTATGAAAAGAAATGAACAAATACTTCAACAGTCAATGTGCAAAAAAATCTGTCACAGACCAAAATATTTAGGAATAGGTTTCAATTAAAGTTGAATAAAACAAGCTTGTTTCACTAATTTACAAATAAACACCAGGTCTTTCATGATTTCTAGACATGACTTACAGGGTTGCAAGCCAGGTGAACTAGTCTGCAGCTATTGCCTATGGTTGTATAAATTTATAACAGGTCAAGACACACAACCGCACAAACTTTCAACTTTGGAATATTCTTCGGCACACGTCAGCTAATACTGCACAAGAGGATGACAGACCACCAGATATACAACACAAGATGAAAGAATGTATGCTAACCCAATTTGAGCACTGACACTTGTGGATTATTGCAAGGCTCCTGTATCAAATATAAAATGGTATCTCTAAAGGCTATGAAAGATGTGCTGATATGGTTTCCTATGTTGTTCTTTTCGCATTAAATAAACCTCCGTAATTTCACGTGCTTTTGGAGACTTGCATTGATCCGAAGTCTTGGTTTTATAGGAGACCAGGACTAGAGAGTTATCTCACCAAAAAGCAGTACTTGACAGAAACTCGCGACACAAATCAGCCATTTGTGGACCGGCTGCAGGGAGAGCACGTACTTGTGGCGCTGCCATGCTTAATTTTGGAATGAACAGCTCTAAAAGCCATGGCGCCAGTAATACTGTACTGTGGTTTAAAAAAACTGTCCGACGGCTACTCTCACATAAATAGTACTTGAAAACAGAGAGAAGCTCTGCAAAGGGGACTGCATCTATGCATGTGGCATCGAAGAGACAGTGTTGTGCAGTGATGGCAACTTCCTCGTGATTATTTTCTGTTTGGGATTTTGTCCTATGGTAGTACTGGCTTATATGCCCGTACGGCGACGATACTTCACTGCGCACTTCTGTAGTAAAAAAAAACGAATAAGTAGTGGCTGCGGCATCACTTTCTCTGGCGGAAAATGTACACCCTGTCTGCGGTATGTAGGTACGTTGACGTTGATCAGGCAAACAACTGGGACAGCATAGCACGGGTAGTGTCGCGGTCTTATGCTTCATAGCGCAGGATGGATTTCCGAACATAATGGCTGCATTTCGATGGGGACGAAATATAAAAAGAACACCCGTGAACCGAAAGATATGTGCGCATTGGAGAAACCCAAGCGGTCACAATCTTGGTACGCACAATACAGCGTACCTCAGAATGATATCTTGTTGGCACATTAAAGCCTAGCAGTTACCGATGTTGAACAGACATGTTCGTTTTAGGCCAACACAGGCGAGCGGAAAAAACTGAAACTGCGTTTTAGGTAAACTAAACAACAAGTAAACATCGAAGACATTTGATACTTCTCTAGCAATGCACAAATTTCGATGTTACTTAGCCACGGCAGCAAGTGAGAAAAACACTTACTGAATTGGCTGGCTCCAGAAAGCTAAGCTTTGAGTAATCTGCTCCTTTGTGTGTAACAAGAACCCTGTCTTTTGCCCAAATTAAGGTAAGCAGAGGCACTTCGGCATCGAGTTTTCACCGCGAGAATATCTTTTAATTAGCCCAGAGGCGCATGAACGTGGCCCTGCACAAGTGTAGTGGGTAAGGAACCTTTCTTTTACACGCAACCGTTCACAAAAAGAAATAAAAAGACTACCTGCCTATCGTTTCGGTCACTACACGCAGTGGTACCAGATAAAGTTTGGTGGTGATGGTAAAATGGACGGACACATGGAAACTTTTTAGTCTTGAAGTTCACTACTCAACGCTCAGCGGGACAGAAAAAAAAGTTATAATGCCGTTTGTTGCATAATATGCTCGTTTTATTTCCAGCAAAACACCGTTTAAACTCGACTGTTTCGCCCTGGCTTCCACTGGTGGCTGTCTTCACTATCGAGTAATTATAGCAGACACGTGACATCTGATTTAGAAACAAGCCTGGCATCACTAGAAAGGAGAGCAAGAGCAGAATTTTGCTCAGCTGACCGCTTGGATGCAACGCTGCCTCCTCTTTCTACGTTCTCTCTTTCTTCTATACGTCCTCCTTTTTACATACTGTTGCACTTGAATACGCAGCAGTACCGCCAGCGCCCTTTGGTTTTTTTAGAGAAATATATTTCTTTAGTGCGCAGGGAACGTTCCAGGCGGAAGACATAGCAGAGAAATTGGACAGAGCGCGCACTTACAGCCAATTTTATTGCACAGATGACGGGAATATATATACGGTCAAGAGGGCGAGGAGATCACGCACAGAAGAAAGGACAAATGATAGCGCATGCACCAGACCACCTTATTCTAGTCTTAAAATGATAACTGAAAAGATACCTGTATTCACTATTCGACAGATTGACAGGTATCTTTTCAGTTAAGTTCTCATTTTAGGATTGGAATAAGGTGGTCTGGCACATGCGCCATCATTTGTCCTTTCTTCTGTGTGTGATCTCCTCGCCCTGTTGACCGTATATATATTTGCGCCATCTGTGCAATAAAATTGGCTGTAAGTGTGCGCTATGTCCTATCTCTCTGCTATATCTTCCCTCTGAAACATTCTCTGCGCACTAGGGAAGTATATTTCTCTCAAAAAATGCAATACCAACTAGCCCAAGTAGCTAATCTTTTGGTTTTGTTACGGCGATGCGCGCACGCACCATCTCTGCCAGCCGCCATTCTCCTCTGCGGAAGCAGCTGAGAAGTGCGCGCTCTCACCGCCAGTGTGGCCGTGGAAACTCCAGCGCTGGTTCCCTATACTAGCAACGTTTAGGATTTGATGGTGCGGGTTTCGGAGAAACAACTTTCGAGAAGAATAACTTCGACATAGCAAACTTTGAACGTCCACTTTACCAGAGATGAGCGACAGAAGTCAAACCTGATAGGCACATCATAAGCACTATGGGGAGGACACTAAAGAACTGGAAATGACCAGACTGTGAAGACGCAATTTCGTACTCAATTGAATCCACTAGACAAACAAGGTATCTTTGAGGTAAAACATCTTGATTGAAGAGGTACATGTATGAATAAATTTTCATACAACTGTGAGGTTGCTAGAACAGAAACTAGTTGTAGATAACTCAAATGAACTTTTCATTGTGTAACTTTGTGCTTGCCTTTTTTTTCTCAATCATATTCAGCCAAAAACAACGTTGTCACAAAGCTGCCCACACTATGTAGAGTCATTTGCCCCACATCACCTCCCCACTTCAATAGAGCCACTTGTATTGAAAATTGGGATCAGTAGAACACTCCGTAGTGCGAAGGAATGTTTTATAAACGTTCTGCCATTCTTCATTTGCCTTTATAATGACGATTCTCCAGCAAGAAAAAAAAAACATGCAAAATCTGTCACAAAGTAACCCGATTTCACGGTAGTACAGGTCTTCGACATCTAAGCTAAATTCACTGCATGTCTTCGGATCATTCTGCCGCAGAAATATCACGATAGCCCCTGAATTGGGCACAAGAAAGGGATCATACTAATGCTATGTCATTCCCCAAAAAGTACTCGTGACTGCTGTTAAGTCGCTAGAACACGAGGTCAACGACAAGGCCGAGTTCAATGTAGTGATAGGACTAAAATGTCAGTGAACCTCTGAGGTTTTACTTGAATAAAATCAAATATTGCTTCAAAGCAGTGTTTGCAGTGACTCGTGTTGCACCAGCAGTTGGCAATATTTTCTTAAAGGTACACTAAAGAGAACCAATGTCTCAGTTTAGACTGACACGCTGCATAACGAGAACTCTCATGCCACAAGTTCATTATCAGTGGAGAAAATTAGGGATGAAGTTTATTTTTTATTTCGTGATGCTCAAATTTTGAAAATGAATTGTATTTTCGCAACATTGGCTTGATGAATATTTCTGAAACTTCGTATCTTAGGTCCATCACACCGACAGATGACAGTGTGCTTAATTTTCAATAATTATTATTTACATAAGACCCAGTACACGTGTTTGAAATTTATGATATCTCCTGGTTTCGTGCGAGAAGATCAAGTCAGCATCTACATTTTCTTTTCGCGCGTTATCTCACATACCGAGCGTAGTTTCGCGGTGAGGGTGGTATTTCCTGCATTAAGAAATTGTACTTGACCAATACACGAAAAATGTTTTTGGTTTTAGTGTCTTCAAAAGGTGTACTGAGACAATTTTGAACATCGCAAAAGGACATTTTTAGTTTCCTGGGTATGCAAGTAGCATTACCACTTGCCACACAATAGTCAGCCAGCGTGCATGAGATAGTTACTTTGTTTTTAAAGTTTTCGTACCAGAGTATTGGCAAGCAATGGAGTGGACATTATGGTGACGAGTCAACAAGGTTCCTCTGAGTTGCAAACGGAGTTTCCATGCAGCCCGAATCACAGAAATCCCTGTCATTGTCAATAGGGACAATGCACTCATGGTTTATATGTACCACGAGCAGATCGCTTTTTGCCATTAGTACGCAGCGAATTGCCAAGTTCTTGCAACGTCACACTGCCTTGTCATAAAACAGAGAAGCCACCCACTTGATATTGAAATTGATAGTGTCTTTTAAAGGTAGAGGTATTAAAAACATATGCAATACTTTCCCACGCAACACAAACTCTCTTCTTGAAACCAATCGTCTTCTATAGAACAATTCCTAAATATTGAAAATTCATCTCAGTACTCCTTTAAGTGATGCCAACAAGATGAATCGGGACATCAATATCAGATGGTTTGGCAGTATGTATATCGGTACATGCACGATTACCTGATCAATTGTGAAGGGAACAATATAACGAATGAGTGGTAGATCACAGGCGGTCTATAGGCGCTCGCTCACTCCGTGCTTTTATGGCCTAAACAGCCACCGCAAGTAAAATATAGTT